GCAAGGAGGGGGAAGCTTTACTAATGAAATCAAAGGGGAATACAAATTAGGGTTACAAATCTTACCTAAAACCCTCAAATAAGACCACTTGATCTCTCCAATAGACTCCAACAATAGAAGCCCCCAAAATCTCCTCTCAGCAGCTCAAAATCGCCCCCCACTAAACCCTAGAAACGAGTTTAGGGTTTAAATACAACTCACAAACGAAACGAGTCTGAAAACAGAACTCAGCCCAAATCCGCAGCGTCGGTCGACCGGACCGGTCGACCGCGATCCATGTCGGTCGACCGGACCGGTCGACCGCCCTCCATCCAGAAGCCAACCAAAATTCCAGTAGTAGACTTGGAGTAGAGAGAGAACCTCTATCAAGTAGTAGACTTGCAAGTAGGTTTAATACAACCTGTTGGCAATCATACATCAAATTTCTCTGAGTTGAGCAGGATCAGGCCTCCTGAAAAGAACTTTGAAATCTAGCTGGCAGGTTATCGGATCAAGTTTCTCTGACAAAACACGGTAGCCGATCTCATTTCGAAGACGAGGAAGGAGTGTAGTAGAGGAGAGGTGTGTTGGTGGGATTGATGCAGTTGTCAACATGATTAGATGTGGGTTTGCGTCGGGTAGTTGTAATGGTTTCGAGGCATAGTGTAAACCAAAGAACAAAATAAAATCACTTCAAATGTTGGGGAAAAGAGGAGGACTTAGTGATGCGGAGGAAATAATTGATGTTTTTTGGAAGAAATCCGATCGTGCGAAAGTAAGATTATTGAAGCGAAAGAGTATTTTCGAATAGATTGTAAGATGCAACTTTGGAGCATCATATCTTTTGACTCGCTCCATAGAATGTTTATTATTATATATTTTGGAAAGCACAGGAAGTGATCTATACATAAAGATAATTCACAACTGCAGATAACATTCATATTGAAAGAGATTTGTCTTCAGGCTCAACTGTGCGTGGAATTTTGGGTTAATTTTATTTTTCTAGTTTTATTGAAAGTTTTTTTACGTAAGGATTTCTCTTAGCTTTAGAAAAAAGATAGTTTGGTACTTTTTCATTGTTTTGTGCCCTGTATGAGGGGAAAAAAAATTCATGTAGGGATTTAGATTGGTTATTATTATTTTAGAAGTTTTCTATTCCAATGGTTTTCTAGGGTTTACGATGTTTTGCTCGTACGAGAACGAGTAGTTAATTCTTTTGATTATGCTTCCGCTACATCAGTTGGTACCAGAGCCGGACTCTTTCTTACTATGGCCACCAACGATAACAAAGTAATCACCCTCACCCTGATCTCGCACAGTGAGTTGATGCCCTAGATTGACGTGTTGAAGAAATCGTCACAGCGATGAGGAACTTGACTACTACTATAAATAGAGGGAGCTGAAATGAAGTCAATGATGAGGTGCATGCCCAGGATGCTGCCCGTGATTGACCCGCTAGGGCTGATGTTCGTGCTTCATGTTAAAATCAAGTCGGTGAGAACTCATATATTGAGGATTTTGGAGTGCTTGAGGAAGACGTTGCTCCAAAAGCAGGGAGATATGGTCATGATTACCGCACTAGAGTTAAGAATCTTCCTTGCTTTTTGAGTAACCTCAACATTGAAGACTTCCTTGGTTGGTTTCACTAGATCGAGAAGTTTTCGAGCTTCAATCCATCCGGAAGGGAAGCAAGTTTCTTTGGTGGCCTACAAGTTGCAAGGTTGAGTTACAACATGGTGGGATCAACTTCAAATCAATCGAACTCTCCAACACAAATTGCCGATTAGTACTTGGCATCGCATGAAGAGAGAGTTGCGATACAAATTTTTGCCAAAAGATTACAACCTAATCTTATTATTGTTGTGCGCCGCGGAAGCCCCAATTAGACAAATCAAAAGCACACACAAGAATAATAGTAGACCACAAGAGATCACAAGCTACCAATCACAGCAAGAACACAAGATATACGTGGTTCGGCAATGTGCCTACGTCCACGGGGTAAGGAGGGGGAAGCTTTACTAATGAAATCAAAGGGGAATACAAATTAGGGTTACAAATCTTACCCAAGACCCTCAAATAAGACCACTTGATCTCTCCAATAGACTCCAACAATAGAAGCCCTCAAAATCTCCTCTCAACAGCTCAAAATCGCCCCCCACTAAACCCTAGAAACGAGTTTAGGGTTTAAATACAACTCACAAACGAAACGGGTCTGAAAACAGAACCCAGCCCGAATCCGCAGCGTCGGTCGACCGGACCGGTCGACCGCCCTCCATCCAGAAGCCAACCAAAATTCCAGAGAGTACGTCGGTCGACCGACCCGGTCGACCGACACCAATGCTGAAGCCCAGTGAGTCTTGTGCACAAATGCGGTCGACCGGACCGGTCGACCGCTGCCCTGTTTGCCTGAATCTTCACCTGTCAACCTCCCTCTGCTGCTAGTTCCACAATTATCTCAATTTAAAAACTGTCGCAAGGCAGTTCAGTTACGAAAAGAGGTAAATCAGTCAAACATAGCATTAAATATTGCTCCTTCTGATAGAGTTTCTATAGAAGGAGCAAAATCAATACGGTCCACATACTCCTCCCTGCAACCAACAAAGAGCCAATGTCACCATCAAGCTCCATGGCAGTGAATTCTTGCACCATCAGATTCTGGAGTACTTATCGATGACGAGCTCTCTCATAGTTTAGCATTTGAGTTGATCCAAAGCACATGGATCCTATCAAAAGAGATAACATATGCAATGCAACCTGAAAGATTGATAGAAGAAATATTTACAACTTGTGTCAATCAAACTCTAAATTTTTGTGGAAAAAATAGGCGCGTTATGTACGGTATGTGATAGAAGAAATATTTACGACTATAAGTAAATGATAGAAGAAACTGTAATAAAGAGAGCTATACTAAATTGTGAAAATATGAAGATTTCGGGGGACTTATTTCAAATAGAGGAGTTTTGAGGGAACAATATCTCAAAAACCTAAATATTACCTAATCGGTTCGCCCAGCCACAAACTTCTCCTCACTTTCTTACAATGAATTTTATTAAAAATAAATCGAGTAATCAGACGAGTGATCAATGAATGAATGATTCTCTAGTGAGATTCATCGTATTTGATACCATTAGTAATGAGCCTATCACTGAACATTTCTAATTCTTAAATTGTGAAAACTCGTCGTCGAGGATAGTTGTAAAATTATTTGAGGTATTATTTTTCTATGAATTGACTAAAAGGAAGTTAATGGGTTTGATTTTTCACTTTACCATGCATGCTTTTAGTTTTAGTGGACTAGTAACTAAGTAATGTGGTGACACCACTGAATGAACTAAATCCTGGCTCCGTCAAAGGTTAATAGTGATAGTTGCAAAGGCTTTGTCAGAATGCGAAGAGAAAAAGAAAAGAAAAGAAAATGCACCCCTAATAGGTTATTCAGCTACGTGCTTGCTAAATGGGAAGGATCCGCAAATGATTATAAGATCATTCAAGATAGCACTTTCCAAACCATAACAACGTGGATTAGGAGTCTATGATGGTAATTTCAAACAAAATTGTCTTATTAACAAATAGATTTACTTTGTAGGAAACAAGAAATTGTAAGTGAATATGTCAACGTATTATTTTGATTAGACGTTCATCAATTTAGGAGCTACTATTTGGCTGCAGCTGTGAAGTCTATGGCACATAAACCTTTCACCACATTACCACCACAAATATCAGCAAGAGCTTCGGCACATGGAATAAATAAAGGATGCACATTTGAATTAAGTTCAAATGAGGTTCTGAACTTGTATTTACTATTCCAAGAAACATGATAACTGACATAATGTTTTCCCTTTTTTTTCGGGGGGGCATATCACAATATCACATATTGTAAATCATTTTCGGATCTTTATAATTGTTACTTTACTTTGCCAAGCAATTAAAAAGTAAAAATATTCCTCTATGGATAATGTTTTCCTTGCTTAGAGAAAAGAGAGAAGCGAAGAAGAGGCTCTCATTCTGTTAGATTCTCAAAGAAATCAAGTAGGGAGATATGATTTGGGGTCTGACTAAAGACTGAAGAATAAATGACAAACATAAGGTATGAATGATCATTTTAAAGTAGGAAACTTTACAAAATATGGTAGCGAAAAAACACCTTCTTACTGACATGTATAGTTTGAAATGTTTAAAGGAGAAATTACCTTTGTTGATTACCCTTGGTCTTCAGAGTTGAGTACCTCTACTAATTCCATGAACATCAACTGCAATCTTCAGCCTTCAAACATGCTTTGATTCCTGAGACACAAACAAGCGGGCAAGATATATGAAAGCCTTGTACTCTTTTATCTCAGTGCCATTACAATGTTTTGTGAAATGATAGTCTCATGTTAGAAGTGTACTTACATTCAATGCTTAACATCCATTTCCCTTCTAGGATGGCCATAATTTGCAAAAGACTTCTCATCAGCAGATGCGAGGACATGTGGCTTAATATCAACTGTAAGTTGCTATCTCATTTAGCAAAATGAGGTACCAATAGTCTTTACAAGAACAAAGCCCGTTTTGAAAAAGATAGAATCGACTCCGATCCCTCACAGAAATCTCCCTCTCATACACCTTTAGTATAAGCTTCATGACAACGTGACAATCTTTGCACACCCTCAAATTCTTCACGATCCGTACTGGTATCCAGGCAAAGTACCAATCAATGCCAATGCAATAGCCAACCTCTCGCTGTGAAAACAAAACACAACACTCTCTTTTTCTTACTCCTCGATATCAGACACACTGCTTTGTCTTGGGTACATACCCTTCCTTTCTCAGCCTCTCTAACATCTCATTTTACCAAAACGAGCTACCAGTAGTCCTTACAAGAACAAAACCCATCTTTAAAATGATGGAATCGACTCCGATCCCTCACAATAATCTCCCTCTCATAAACATTCGATATAAGCTTTGTCACAATGTGACAATCCTCGCACACCCTCAAATTCTTGACTATCCTTATAGGTACCGCAGGCGAAGTACTGATCAACGCAAATGCAATGGCCAGCCTCTCACTGTGATAGCACAATGCGGTCTCCTTCTCTTCCTCCTCGATGTCAGCCAACACATTGCTCGTCTTGGGTACATACCCTTCCTTTCTTAGCCTCTTCGCAACCTCCTCTAACTTGTCATATATCTCATCGCTCTGGGGATGGGATCGATCTCCCATGACAAACTCATGCACGCGGTTGCCAATTTCCAAGAGGCTATACCCGGGGGTTTTCTTCACTCCTCCATTGAACATGTTTCTTCTCAACTTCTGCACATCTCTCCATCGTCCGACCGAAGCATACAAGTTAGATAGCAGCACATAATCTCCACTGTGGCCCGGATCCAGTTCCTTGAGCTTCGACCACGCAGTCTCTCCAAGGCTCAATTTCTTGTGCATAGAGCAAGCGCCGAGCAATGTCCTCCATATAACAGCATTCGGCTCCATAGGCATCCTCTTAACGTAATCATGCGCCTCTTCAACACAGCCAGCTCGTCCTAACAAATCAACCATACAACCGTAGTGCTCAATTTTTGGCAATATACCGTACTCTTCTTTTATCCTATCGAAATAACAAAACCCTTTGTCTACCAACCCGCAGTGGCTGCATGCATACAACACCCCGACCAAAGTAATCTCCGTCGGCCTCAACCTCTCCCTCTCCATCGCACCAAACAATTCAAGCGCCTCACCACCAAATCCATTGACCGCCAACCCGACAATCAAAGAAGTCCAAGAAACAACATTTTTCGTGTCACCCATTTCATCAAACACCTTCTTAGCATCCCAAACACTCCCACACTTGGCGTAGAGATCAATCATGGCGTTCCCCACATGCGCATTGCCAGCGCACAGCCCTCTCTTGAACGAGTAAACATGCGCCCTTCGACCCAGCGCCAAAGCCCCCAGCTCCGCGCACGCGCAAAACAAGCTAACCATAGTGAACCCATCAGGCTCAGCATCCTCCTCAGCCACCATCCTCCTAAAAAGCGTGAGCGCCTCGTTCGGCCGGCTGTTCAGGGAAAACCCATTGATGACGGAGTTCCAAGTGACGACGTTTCTCGCGGGCATTTCGTCAAAGACCCTGTACGCGTCCTCGGAGACCCCGCAGGCGGAGTAGAAGGTGCACGAGGGAGTTGCTGGACGAAAGACGCAGGAAAGCCCGCCATCCGTCGGCGGCGGCCAGGGGAGTGCACGTTGCCCTGCGTCGGCAGAGGCGGTCTGAGCCTGGTGGGCGGACTTGGCACACGAAGGGTAGGTTCGTGGTGTCGGCGAGGAGGGGAAGCGGAGAAGAGGGGGAGGGTGGGGCGGGGTCGGGAGGGAGATGGGAGTGGGCCCGGAGGAGGGTGTTGACGGTGAAGGATGGATGTTGGGGGAGGCCGGGGTCGCAGCTGGGCGAAGATGGCGGGCGGAGTAGGGGAGACCGACGGGTGGGGGTCTGGAGGGGAGGGAGAGCGTGACGAGGAGGAGAAGATGAGGATGCTTGGGAGGAGTGGGGAGAGGGCGAGCCAGGGGAGCGGATGAGCGGGGCGTGGATTGCTTCGTGCGGGGGATGGAGGTCGGACGGCGGAGGAGGGCGATGCATCTCTTGAGGCGCGGGGGTCGTGCGGGGGAGGAAGACGAGCCCGCCCGCCGCTGCTTCTGGGGCATGGGGGCGGCGATCATGTTGTCTCTATTATCGTCGTCGTCGTCGTCGTCGTCATACAAATGATGATTACATAGTTTTGCGAAGGAGAACTATTTCTTTTTTTTGAAATAGACCGATTTCGAAAAATATTTAGCGAAAGTGATCGTTTTGCTGAATATTTAAAGAAATCCATCTCTTTTCACTCACCCCCATCTACTCGGACAAAAAAGAGGTCGATTTTGTAAAATTTGAATTTCAAAACACAAGTGGACTACTGTGTTTAGGGCAGGCTAATCAGCTATTAAATACGCCTCAGAATTCTTACGGAACTAGTAGTCCCGTGAACTCAACAAAAACCCGTGTCGCCATAGAAAACACGTGGAACTTGTGATCCCGTGTGTTAAATAGAGAGTCCGGGTTTTATCGACCCAGCAAATACACAGAACTAATAGCCCCGTGTGTTTGTCAGGCCTATATATAACCAGTCGTGCCCAAAAATTAAGGCACGGCTGCTCTCCACATGCCTCTCATGCTCTCTGCCTCAAATCAGTCTCATAGATCTCCCTCAAATCACTCTCTCAACTCTCTCCCAATCTCTCTCCCCACCCCATTGATATTCTCCGACATCACCTCTTTCTCTCTTAATTTTCCCTCTCTTCTTCTCTCCAAACCCAGACCGAGGCTCTCCCCTAAAATTTCTCTCTTGATTCGCTCCGGCATTGTTGAACTCCGACGCCGACAAACTTTAACTTTTAATCAAGGTAAATTTTTTTAATTTTGTATAATTTTCTTTCTAATTTTTAGTTACAATTGTAGTCTGAGAATAACCCTATATTTAGAATGATTTACTTTCAATTTTGATAAACAAATTGGTTTGGTTAAAATTTGATAGATTAAATTTGATGTAAAGGATCTTTCGACTATGGTTTAACTAGAAATAAGATATATAAATTTTAATTTACGAATAATATAGATAATTTTCATATGATGAATGTTAATATTTTAGTTCCAATGGCGAATGAAATACCTATTATTTGCTTCTTCAATGGAAGACTGAGTGTTGGAATGAATAATACGCCTATAAACGAGGGAGGATCTACAAAAATGTTCATGCCATATAACAATTGTATCTTTGATGGAATGATGAAGCAAATATATAGAGTTACTAAAATTAACTATGGAGATTATGCAACTAAGGTGTAATGTAATTGTCTGATAAATAAAAAAAGAACAATTGATGTAGAGATTACCAATGATCTAGAAATGATGATATAACTTACAAAAAACCAAATCTTGATTGAGTTGTTCATTAATTTTCCAATATCCGTTGTTGCCCAAGTTTTGAGTGCTCCGGTAGAGTTCTCCCGCATGCTTGACTTAGAAAATAACTATAACATATTTATTTCATCTCCAAGTGTCGTGCGCTTAGAAAATAACTCGAGTGAAATGACATGGGTCAACTATAACATTTAAGCAGGTGTTCCTATTGTACAACGTCAAGTGATATGTTCCATAATACTTCGGGTCATGTTATGCATAATTTACCAGTTGATTCCATTGTAGAAGAGGATGAGGATGCAGATGATGATTCTAAAGATGTTGAAGAAAAAGAAACAACTTGATAGCATGCAGTGTGCAATTGGAGGCGTCGATGAGGATACCTGTTGGATGGATGAATTTTGTGTAAGAAACAATTATGTGGAGTCTAAAGAACCGTTTCTAAAAGAGTTTTAAAATGATGAGTGGATAAATGCCTCAAAAGCTAAGTCTGTTGATCTTAGTTCTAATTTCGAACGACCCGAGGACTTCACTTTTAAAAAAGAAGATCTAATGAGAAAGCTCAAGGATAATATACAAGTGCTCAAGATGAAGGAAATTCAATGTATCCTTGGAAGCTCAATGCAGCTATTAGAAAAAAAATCCGAGTACCGAATACGAAATATTGTCTAAAAAGATTGCACTAGGAGTGGAGAGGTTCATGCTAGTATTTTAGGCTTTTGGACCTGCCATCGAGGAGTTCTTATTTTATCTTCCGCTCTTTAGTATCGATTGCACACATTTATATGGCAAGTACAAAGGAGTGCTTTTGGTTGCGACCAGTGTAGACGTTAATGGTGGGCTACTTCCATTGGTCTTTGTAGTTGTTGAGGTAGAGGACACATCGAGTTGGAAATGGTTTTTTCAATGTATTTACAGATTCATTCCTACTGTCCAAAGTCCTAGAATGATTACTTTTATTTCCGGTCGGATGAAAGGAATTTCACGGGCCTTGCACGAGGGTTTTGGAGCACCGCGTCATCACTGATATTGCTTGAGACATATAAGAGATAATTTTAAGAAAAGACACAGAGAGGTCAATTTACACATTCTATTCAAGCAAGCCAAGTGTGCAGTCGATACATTGGTGTATGAGCATTATAAGGAGAAAATAAAACACATGATTGGACTGAATAAAACTTCAAGCCGCAATACGAAGATCGATGGGCATTAAGTAAAGATGATAGAGTGTGCTACTATATAATGACAACTAATTGTTTTGTAAGTTTTAATGGCGTACTTAAGGATACCCGATCAATGCGAATTCAAGCCTTGGTTGCAAGGACGCTTTATAGGTTAAACGCATACTTTAACAAAAGATGTGGTAATGGCGCAAGTTGGACGGCGAGTTACGCTCCAAAAAGTGAGACTCACTGTAGAAAAGGATTGTAACTATAAGATCATGTAGAATTACTCCATTTAACAATAATGAATGGAAGGTTAAAGATTGTGAATGTACTTACACCATTTATATCTATGACCGGGAGTGCAATTATAGTTGTACTATACCATAATTGCAAAATAATTACCATGTGAATATGTTTTAGTGGCTAGTTCCAATTAGGATGGTGATGTTAGATTGCCTTATGATCGATATTGCTCAGCTTGATATTCAACGAATCATTACCAAAAATCTTACTAGGAGAGTTTTCATGCTCTCGATGGTAGTCGCTATTAGTCGACTTATAATGAACTATGTCTATTACCACCTCAGTACAAAAGATAAGCAGGATGACATTGATCCGTGTGCATTAGAGGTATCATGGATCAAGGGTGGGAAGGAGTGGCGTCGTGAATTAAATATAGTTAATGTAATCAATTTCGTCATAATAGGTCTCGTTGTCCATCAAGAACAAGTAGATAGAAATTAATTGGTAATAAGTTTCTAATCTCTATTTCATACTTTTTATTATAATCTTATTGATTCAGCAAGAACTAATATATTTACTGATTGTTTGTAGGTATATACACTATGCTTCTCAGGCCGGTTAGTTATGACGTCCTATATGATCAGTCACGACACCATTCGGAGACTGTTGATGGTTAATATGATCACACAGTCAATTTGATCCAGACTAGGATCAGTTTGTTCAATATTGAAGAGGGTCTGATTCCTTCTCTGACTTTATATCTAGTTCTTTGAGTTTGGTATCTAAAAAATATACACGAATAGAAATCATATGAGAGGATGGGTTTGATTCCCCCGTGGTTCCTCCAATGTTCAAGTTAGTTGAAGAACTTGAGTGGGGTACAAGAAGAGTTGTGTGTTCTTGTAAATATGCAGTGGATATGTTCGAGAATCAAATTTGTGAATCCCAATGATGCTAGAATAGTACCTGTATTTATACTAAGGTGGTAAGGGCAGACTGGTCATTTAACTGAGAATAGGAAGGCGGTGGCGAAGTGTGGGTTAGCGACCACATCAGCACTTGCTTTACAGGTGTCGGCTAGCAAGTGGAGGGAATGTCGTTTCGGTATCAAATAGGAAGAGATTAGCGGCATGGTAGGGTTCACGTGGTCCGATGAGTCATGAAGACTATTTAGGTTAGAGTCATGATGACACTTGTCAAGCATTAAATGCGATGTTGATACATTATCATAGAAATAGAGACTCGAGACCAAAATAGTTCTTTAACTTCGTCGAGAAGTAACGTTCTTTGAGCCGACTCTGGAACCGCCTTGCTAGTGGACGAGTAGACTTGCGACCAGTTTACTAATAGAGGGAGGTAGACTGGCACCGCCTTTCGGGTCGACTAACACCGCCTATCGTGTCGACACTGAGGGGTGTCATCTCATCTTGTCGGCTAAGTTGCGGCCTTGATTGTCTCTGGTCGCTAGCGAAACTATAGCGTTGTATATCAAAGTAGACTTGTCACCTACTTGAGTCTAAATTGTATTTATATGAAAATGGGAACACCATAACAGTTAGCAATTTTCACTTGGAGTCGGGTTTAGACGAGTCCGAGTGAAATATAATAATAATAAGAAACAATTTTGGACAGATGTGAGTGCTTTGAATAAGAACTGAAAAAGCTTCTCCTAAAACGACATGGTTGACGTCATCCTACATCCCTTTTGCTTCTACAATCCCGATTTTTATGGCAGATTATGATCTATTCGAGGTGAGGGCTATGCCTCGATCTCTGAGAGCACTTTGAATTCTGAAGATAAATCCTAGTCGTGGGATACTACTGGATCTAACAGT